ATAAGTGCTTTTGTTTATCTTTGTCAAGTGAAATGCATAACTGATTCTTAACCACCTCTAAAATGCTAAAATATATTTATCCTTGTTATCCGATTAGCTTAGTAAACCTTGTTATAATTGATAAATACCGTAAAAAATCTCTCAAATTAACAAAACAACGGCCCCCAATAAAAATAAAAATAAAAACAATGCGTGTACAAATAAAAATAAATAAAAACTCCGAGCAGCCGATTCTATGAACTACTTCTTGTTGTAAAGTATCAAACGTGTCAGATTAAAATTTTCATTCCACCGAAGCCTTGTTTCGGTAGGCGAGAAAATAATTTTTATAGACATAACTATCCATATTCATTTTGTTTATTTTTTAATGATGTTTATTATTATTTTGTTGACCACTTATTGCTCAAAATTTTAGAGAAATGTTTGAAAATACGAATTTAAAAAAAACAACAGAAAAACGAGGGAAGAAATTCTCTAAAATTAATTTCTATTGTCTACAAGCATGACAAGTGAACCTGAATCAATAATTCATTTCCATTTTCTATGATGAAGTACACACTGTAATTGGCATACACGAAATATCTTTTAAAATCTGTTGATTGATAAATTGTTCTCTTCTCAACGTTCAGTGGCAAGTATTTCATGCAATATTAAGGACGTCTGAAATTTAATGTACAATAAATCTGTTGCTCAGTGGGTCCTACAAAGTAAAAGATCTGTGATGAATGGCTGAAAATTGAGGTTGCCACTGGGAAAGGATGATATGTAGGATAGGAAAAGAAATCATTGGGTCACCTACTAATTTAACATCCCCATTTCGGATGAAAATAAATATTTTTAGATTAGTGCTTCAATGGTGAAACGGGAATAAAATGTATTGAAATATCGTATGGCAATACAAGTATATCGGGTAACATTTGTGTACTTTTACAAAAAGAAAATCTTCACTGAGAATTCAATCGCGGCATTTGAGCCCTAAAGAAATTTTCCAGTTCTCTTAAATAAAGCGTGTATTGTGAATATTATATATTTCGCGTAATCAAGTATAACAGTTACCTTTTCTATGAATATTTATTAGGAATGCGATTATTATATGAGATATTCTGATTGAAAGATGTATGAAAAAAACGTTTAACAAATTTCTCGAAAGTATATGCAACATTTTACATGAAAATGACGAACTAGATAATTAGTAAACACGTTAAATAAATTGGTATTATAGTACTAACAAGCTTATGATCCTGTATCATTTTTTGACATCCGTTTTAAGTATACAAATAATGCATTTTATTCAAAATGCTTCATTCCCGCCAAAATCGTCCTTTTGGCGCCGTCTTTGACGTTGTCAGTGCCCCTCAGTATTGTGACGTTACCATGGACCTTTGACGTTCTACACAATCAACAAGATTTGTGTGTAGAAGCCATAAATGTCCCTTTGGCAGCAAGAGGGTTAAGCACCATCCAAAATACTTTACTTTGGCCCATAGATTATTAGCAGGTATGAGTATCGTTAATCTGAATAAAAAGGATGCATTAAATTGCAATGTTAAATTGACTACACTAAGATATAAAAGTGAAAAACAATTTAAGACCAACCCTTTGCTGTTTCAGTAGAAAAAAAACTTAACGCGGCAGGAATTTCAGTTGAAATATTAACAAGAGCTGTCCAAAAAAAAAAAGAGAGAAAGTGAAAATCGTCAGTATTGAACTTGACCTCCATTCTGTCATCAGTAAAATTAAATTCACATTCAAAAAGCTTTAAATGGGCGGTTCATAAGTTATCGCAAGGAAATGGACAGAGCCGCCCATTCGCCGTACAACCCCAAATCAATATTCGGAATTTTCCGTTGAAATTCGGGTTGAAAATTCGTTCAAAAAATAAAGGGGTGATGATTAATTGATGAAGAGATTTCTTATGGTCCCGTCATTTACTGAAAATTTACGAAGACATGGACAAAATAATCATGTGATTATAGATATCAGTTTTTTAGTCCTAGAAGAGATGGTCAACCATGATAACTTTTCTTTACAGGTGTGAATGGTTTTTTACCCTCAAAATTACGAGAGGATATGGTTTGGAATCGAACTGTGAATTACACTGGAGGAAGAGGGTCCAATTTGGAAATGGACCTCGTAAACGAATTTTTAAACAAAAGATTTATAAATTCATTACACATGACGGGGAAAATGACGGACGAAACGATTGACAGACACGGGAAGATAGTAGGCGGACTGAAGAATGAAATTAACAGTATATATGACACCATGACAGGTCAAAAAACATGGCATGCAGTGGGGGGTTGTAATAAAAGACGAACGGACGTAATTAAACTTATTACTCATTTAAAAAAAGAAGATCTGTTTAAATATCACGGGGGGAGAACTTATAAATCATTTCAGAAATTTACTTTAAAATCATGTAATTCAATTGGATTCATGTTAACAAAAATTGAAAGATTGTCAAAAAAAATAGGTAGAAGGAAGCCTATTTTATAAATTAAATTATTTCGATTTTATGATGTATTGCTTATTTTTTATTGTTACACCGAAGGGAAAATGCCACACAATTCGGCCTGTCTGCAGGTCGGCACATATACAAATAATCTATCTGAATTATAAACATCAATGCATCAAATATTAATTATGATAATAAGAACATAAAAAGAACACAAAAAACGAAAAATCGTCGACGAAAGGAACCATGATATATGGAAAAGTTAAAACTGATTTGGTTTATGTCCCTCCTTCTTAATATTGAACAAGTAGAGTGAAAGCGCTTCATAGTCAATTTTCTCCTTCACTTTACAAGGCAATAAACTTAAAAAAGCTGGAGTAATTTATAGTTATGAAAACATTTAATATAGAATTAACCAGCGGCATTCAGTGCCTGTAAAGTCCGCGTACAAAAAGTATGAGGTGCAAAGTCGTTGATTTAAGGATGTTCGCTTGTCATGTTTTGTAATTTCGGAATCCTCTGGTTTTATCCATTTGAATGCCTTAAAAATTTTTTGCCCACTAACCCCCATTTTTCTTTTTATAAATGTTTTACATGCATAATATTAAGCCATCTGTAAAAGTCTTATAAAATCTTTGTTATTTTTTAATAGTTTTTGAGAACTTAAACTTGTCAATGATAAAGTATGAACAATCAAGAGAGAACATTTTTCCGTCAAAATTTCAATGGCTAATATCTCGAAAACAAGCACACGGACCAATATATTTTTTTCGCTCTTTTGGTTCCTGTTTCGTCTACGTTATAGTGTAGAAACGTTACGTTCCGTAATATAACGTTACTGATGTAAACAAGATTTCCACAGCTCCGACTGCAAGGGATTTCCTCCTGTTAAGATGAGTTTCCATATAGTGTACAAGTATTTAAGGTATGTAACTTGTTTATTTTATCAAGCTTTAACATTTGTTATACATTTTTCGTATTTGAGCGCTCTGGCCATGTCCCAATCGTCCCCGGGTAATCTTCCCGGGAGCTTGCACCATTGAAGGTAATGGAGGGCGAGCTGGACTCAGTGACAAAAAAAAATGAAAATAAGTCACTGAGGTCAGGGCTGGACTATATATTCAATGTTTCCAGGTTAAGACCTTCTTCAATCTAGATTCAATGTTTTTACGCTCTACGTATAATGATCGTCTGTTATAAGTTTTTTCTCTAGATTCAATGTTTCGCCGTTAAAAAATCATAAATATTTAACGAATCCTCTGGTATAGACCTGGAGCCTGTTAATCGAAGCGCTCTTATGACTAGGACATGTTCTTAGGTCATCGTTGTACGTATCTTTATCCTAAGTGGGATTATCAAACATGTCATAATTTAGGAAAATTCGTTAGAATCTTCCTAACTTTAGGACACCTATTTAAGTGTCTTAAGATGGTCTTAGGATGGTCCTAACTTTATGATATATTCTATTATAGTTAATTTGTTAACAAATACGACCGCCACCTATATATATTTATTTAGGGAGCAGTATAAATAATTTGTGTAGCAATAGACCGCTTAGGGACTATTATAATCCAATGTATTTGGGTGACATTAATATTATAGTACGCAAGTATAGATTATCCCGTCCGTAACGCAGGTGCTTAGGGAATGGATCCCCCTTTTTCTAAATATTTTAATTGTTACTAAGAAAATATTCTTTGATATTTCAACCTATTTTCACTTATTTGATATATTCTTGCGCTTATCCAAAAGATATTAGTATATACATGTTGTCCCTCTATTAATATTTTCCATTTTCCACGTGGAAAATAAGAATAGAGGGGCATCATATATAAATAAATGAACATATGTTGGAATATTAAAGATTATTCCATATTGATAGAACTTTAGTAGGGTTTTCTATATGAATGGGATTTTGAATAAATAAGCATGTATTCACCTGCGGAAAAAGTATATTCACCGCGCAAAACGTCGCGTGCTTTTACGTGTATAATAACGATACAATGTTTGACGTTTAGTTGGTTTTGGTAAATAACTGTTATTTTATACATATTTTTCTCGCTCGGAACATGGAATAAAACAATTACTGTCTTTTGTTTCGGTAAATATGTGGTTTAATTGACTTTTGAAAAACCTAGTGACATTCACTTCGCCCGTTGGCCTCAGTGAATATCAGTTTTTCAAAAGTCAATAAAACCACACATTTACCTCATCAAAAGACAGTAATTGTATAATATTTACTTTGGAAAAAAGTTAAAAACACAAAAAAAAAAGATTCAGGAAAAGGGGATCCACTCCCCAAGCACCTATGATCCGTAATGAAATAATTCATGTACTCCGTATCTATATGAAAGATGCACGAAATTTGCCTTTGAACTCTGTAAAGTATGAAACCGTGACCGTAATAGTAAAATGAGGGGTTGTATCAGAGTTGGTAAATTCACTCGAAACTAGGTGAGACATGCGCAGTAATGATAGATAGATGGTATAAAGATAGAAAATTGAATATTTTAAGTAAAAAAAATTTTCTTTTTTAAATCCGTACCATACCCAAGCACCTGTGTTGAAATCTGCCACCACAGCAAAATACTTAAGACAACACGATACCTGCGAAACAGAAAAAAGAAGCGTAAAGATAAGTTGATAACATAAACGGTACCAATTTTACTGCACTATCTTTAGCTGAGCAGGTCGACAATTAATGTCTCTTCGGCGATGGTTGAGACCAAAACATTTGAAAATCCAAAACCTCATACAAACGTTGACGTGATGATTAAACTAAAAAGGACTTAAATTGTAGCCAAATCCGGATTAATATTAACAAAAATATCTTACTTAGCATTTGGAAATCCGGTATGTTGAATTTTAGCTCCTTTTCATGTCAACAAGATGCATGATAGGCCACCAACCACAGGAACAAGATAAGTGCCTTATCTCGTAAAAGGTTGCTACGTCTAAAAGCAATTTCGAAATTTCCGGTGCAAAACATATTAATCACTTTCATTTATGATGAACAATAATCCGAAGTGCTTATCGATCTTACTTCCTTGTTGTAGACACGTGGTTTTGTTTGTAAACAGTAACACACTTGATTATTAAAAAATATAATTCCAGAAGTGCAATGTTATATTTGAATAATTTTTAACAGCAGTATTGTAAATGTAACAACATAAAATAGTATGAATTTATTTTTTCATTTGATTGTATTAACTGAAATCTGCAAACCAAACGTAGTTTTTATTTTATATCATATTTCAAGATTTTTTTTCGCGTTAAAGCAATTATAAAATTGACCCTACCTCATAGGTATCAACCATTCGGTCTTAACCATCATGTTTGATATTGAAGCACATTTCAAAGGCCTTTTCTTTGTGTTTAGCAGCAGACAAACTAGTATATGTAAATATTTTTATAATTGTGATTGGTTTACGCAAACACATGACTGAACAATCACGAGAGAGAAAATTCCCAGTCTGGTTGTTAGTTTTCGGACTTTATGAACTGGAAATTTTGCAAATTTGACAAAATGTATTATTTAAGTAATGTCAAATCCGACAATCGGCGCATAGTAACTAAATCTATTCAAGCAGTTTTACACATAAGTTTTACACATTATTAATAGATGTCCATTGAAGTCACGGAATAAATGGATTGAAGACTTGTTTGCTTTCCCCATCATTTTTACGCATGTTTAATCTTTAATACTTAATTATTGGAACAAATTCTTATATGTGCAATGGAGGATTACAAGAAATACACTTGATAACCTCTTCGGTTGAGCCATGGAGAGTATAGTGCACATCTTTTGGGATTACGTGCAGTAAAATCTGTTTGATTAAAATTTGGGAATTTTCTAGAAAATTGCAGATAATTTACATAATATTTGAAATTCCATTGATGAAAAAAAAAAACAAATACATAATGGAATTTGAATTAAAATTAAATCGTCCATTGAACCGACAGACTTGGCAAATCTAATCGTTATTTATTGCTACTGTTATGCTGATTGAGCATTTAGAGTTCTGCCGTAAAACTATGTGGATTTTAATAGTTCACTTTTACTTTGAAACCCTAGCTGAGAAGACGTTGGGAAAAATTTTAAATTTAAACTTTAAAATTTGAGCTTTGTTTGTTGCTGATCTTATTTTCAGATGCTCTTGTCCTCATACCTCTATCCATTATGGTGACATCTTGAAAAACAGTTACACAACAGGAGGTCCGAGCAAAATTTACTTGAAAGTATGCAGACAATGGATAGCCCAGCTGCTACTCGTGAAATATTGCTGACTGGACCGCCCTTCAGTACATCAGCTTTGGGTTGCCCAGTTTTGAAATAGATTAGTTCAATCGCCATCAAGAATTTATTTAGCTGACAAGTAATTTGGTTGTGGTGTACTGTATGTTTTTGTTGTTGGATTCTCAATCAAATGGCACATTGGCAATTCCATAGCCAAACAAAGTCAGTTTTTGTTATTTGGTGTAGTGGTATACAAATCAAGTCAACAATGGCGTCTCTTCGCACATTTTGAAATTTGGGTAATGTACATGAAACGAATAACTTTGAATATATTATTGAATAAAATTATTAAATTAGAAGGTTTTCACTGTTTCCTCATATTAATTCTCAATTTATGAAATTTAATGTCCATTTTAGATCTTCCCTCGTTTTTTTTTTTTAAATTTTATTCATTCGATAAATGTCCAGACTGACGGCGACTTGCACTTTGTCAAATGGCTTGATGCGTGTATATGGATGAAGACCGTATAGTGTCCTAACATGGCTATGTTTGGTAAGCTTAAGTTATTGTGTTGTTTTCTCATTGATATTTACTTCAAAAATATATCATGTCTGTGTGCACAACACATGTTTTGGGAATAACCATTTTCAGGTCACTCGAGACCACAAGGTTGGAAAGCCAAAAATATAAAAATATAATTTGGAGAATAAAAACCTAAAAGGTCTCAACAAAAAAGTCAAAACCGTTTAAAATCAACTTTGTATTAGAGTTGTATTACAATTGCATAATTTTATCAGCTGAAAATGAAGTTCACTGACATCGTTTGAAGTATGCCAAATAAATACCAGAACACTGATGGTACCCTGGGTGAATGATAGTCCACCAGCAGCGTTACCAACCAAATTGTAATGTGACTAGAGGCTCTAAAGAACCTGTATCACTCACCTTGGTCTATTTGCATCTTCAACAATGGACACTCTCCAACATTGTAGACTAGAATAGAATTCATGACAAAAACTTGTTATTCTAGATTTTGTATTGCTGATTATTTTTTTTCGTTTACAGAATCTCTCTATCTTTAGTTTTTTGTCTAAAACTCAAGAAAGGGTAAAACAAATCTTCATTTAAGGGCAATCATTCTAGAGGTTTGAAGTGTCTACTAACGATTCGGCAAGATTTGAGTTGTTTGTAGAGCTTTTCTCGCTGATAATTTTGCAATTTAAAGTGTCTATCTATCCTATATAGTTTTCAAGATAATAGGCAAAAATACTACAATTGGGGGGGGGGGGGGGGGGGGGGGGGGGGGGGGGTCGTCATTAAAGGGCAATAACTATAATAAGGAGTCGTCTGACGATTACGGCTGTTTGACTTATTTGTAGATCTTCACTTGCTGATAATTTTCTATGTTCAAAGTTTCTATCTATCTATTATAGTATTTAAGATATTAGTCAAAAAAGGAACAAAATTGTCATAAAAGGGCGATAACTCCATTAGGAAGTCGTTTGACAATTGTTTATGTTATCAGAAGGTAGATCGCCACATTCTGAACATTTCTGTTCATTGGACACATGTTTTAAACTAGATACCCAAATAATGGTTGTGGCGAAGTTTGGTTAAATTTGGCGAAGTGGTTTCAGAGAAGACCACGTACGCCAAGTGATGCTTTAGGCAAGGTGAGCTAAAAAAAAAAAAAAAGACGTATAATACGGTAACCGTGTGCACAACATATGTGTTTTGAATAACCTTAATCAAGTACTCTGAAGATCAACATTTTGGAATTCGAAATATAAATATAAAAAGAAGATGGTATGATTGCCAATGAGACATATCTCCACCAGCGACCAAATGACATATAATTTAACAACTATAGGTCACCTTACGGCCTTCAACAATGAGCAAAACACATAACGCATAGTCAGCTATAGAAGGCCCCGAAATGACAAATGCAAAACAATTCAAACGATAAAACTAACGGCCTGATTTATGTACAAAATAATGAACGAAAAACAAATATCATATACAGCAGCAAACGACAACCACTGAGTTACAGGCTCCAGCACAACATATAAACAAACTAAAAAAATCAGTTAAAAAGGGCTTAACTCATCAAATCAAAACAAAGCAGAAAAACAAGTAACAAAAACACAGACCGGACGTGGCAGGGTATTTATACATATCCACAACAAAAAAGACACTAAATACAGATCTGAGAATACTCGCAGTTACTAACAGCTAGTTCAAAGCCAGTAACAACTAATAAAAAAATCAAGTATATAAGACTAAAACAGTTTTGAGAATATAAAATCAAAAAGAGCTGACCGGCACCGTCTAATTGTAGCATTGCCTGAATGAGTTGCAATCTTAGTTTTATAACAACTACAATATTTTTATAAACTCAAAATTAATTGATACTGGGTATGCATCACATTAGTCATGCCAAAACCGAAGCACTGGTTACTTGTCGAATTATACCCGCGGGAACTGATATTCCGCCAGTTGCAGTACCGGCCTAAAATACGCATGCAAGATATGATTTCCGTGCGTAGACCACCTGTAATTGGATTTATTTATCCTTCATCGAATACATTTTAGACCAAATGTTTGGAAAGTCAGAAATGTATATACTAGTAATCTACCTTTATTTATATGGATAATTCTGAAAGATAACTTATTTTTTAATGTACTGTCCAATTATACTAACAGAAAAGTAGTCTCTAAAATAAATCTGTTGTACGATACACAGTGGTCAAATATTTTAAATTCATTTTTTCACTGATGCAACAATCTGAGAAATCATGTGTGTGTACGTGTTGTTTCCAATCAAAAGATGAAATTGATTGTAAAAAGTCACTAAAGATCACTGTGTATCATCGCCACACAGTGGTACCAACGAAGCAGACCATTTCTACCGTTTCGATGAGGTTACCGCTTTTGAAACGATTTTCTGATATACAAAGCTTTAATTTTTTATGCCAACAACTAGCAAACAAAGACAATAGTTTGTGTTATACTCCAAAACTGTGCAATTGGTACCAGAAAATGTCGAGGTCGATCACCCTCCGTCGCCCCGTTGGCCAGATATTCATTGTTTTTCCAGACAAAGTTTTAGATTATGATAGTGTGACTTCATATTTACTGAAATTCGCTATCAAAAAGATGTTTTCTAAAGAATATCGGTAAAAGCTAACCCAGCCTAGGGTACGGCAACTTGCTCCTGTTGACATATTTACAGTACGACAACTTGTTTTCGAACTGTATAGCAACTTGCTAGTTTTATAATATTTATATGCCATCCTTTTCAAGAAATAGTCTTATAAGTTCATGTATACCTAATTATATACATTTGATAGAAATACAATTCGCTTGAGTGACGGCATTGTAGATCATGGTACACACAATATTATGCTACACATTCGTATTAGATCTATACAGCATCATACAAAAAATATATGTTTTTCAAGATGTATACATATTATGTCAATATTTTACCTTTACAACATAAAAAAAATCCATGAAATGTCCATAAAATACACTTTTAAATTGTTACTAACTTCTAGTATCTATTTGTTTTATAGATTGCATTACATCTATATATCCGAGTTAACTTCAGATATGAGATGCATGTAATGTAGTCAATTAACAATGAACAAATGAATAATTAGGAGGATTTTATCCGAATTGAATATTTATTTATATCCGTTGCTACGTATGCTTATTTTTTTCCTGGGATTTTTTTTTTTTTCTTTCTTTTTTGTAAACAATTGATTCCTGCATTTTGTGTTGCAGAATATTTATTTTCAGCTCTTCCCAGGCCAAGTTATTCCTTTTCAAATCGAGTCGAGTTCCATACCTGTATAAGTTTAAAAACAGAATGTGTGTTTGAAAACAAACTAACTACTAACTACATGCTGCAATAACTGTTTATGCTATTTTTGGTCTCACTTGTTTTGATTTATATCATTTCATTTGACACAATATACAAATAAAATTTAGAAATACATGAATTAAACATCTTATACATGAACAAGTACTACAAAAAGAGAACTCGGGCGAATAAACCCCTCCCCACGCCCCACACACACTACCTCTCCACTAACTTATTTTAATTTAGGCCAAACAGCATTAGCAACAGTCTTTTAATTTTTTTATCTTGAAAATAAAAAGTTGTAAATTTAAAAAAAAAAGATATATAATAAAAGAGAAAGTATATGGGGTATCGATCCATGACATAGCACTTTTATTGCTGTGCTTCATCTCAATGTCACAGTGAGGCCTTCAACACAGAACAAAATTTTCACCTCACTGCAAGTTTAAGACGGCCCCTGGTACCGGTTTGATCGGAATTCTTTGCGGCCCACAAGGGGCATAAAGAGAATACATGTATAAGGAAAAAGAACATTGATTAGCATAGATACATAGAATTTAAATACACAATAACAATACAATTAGACTGTTATAAAGCCCTTGGTTTATAGTATATAATATAGTTACATGAAAAATAAATAGATCTAAGTGATATTGACTTTAATAAATTTTCCAACAGCATTATGGACCTGATTGTCTTCGCAGCTTAATAAATAAATGAATTTTTGCTGATTGTCCAGTAAAGAAAAGTTGTGAATTTTTTGGCAAACAAATTCAAAGAGAGAATCTCTTATCAGAGTTAAATTTTTCACATGAAGTTAAAAAATGGATTTCATCTTCAACACAGCATGGGGAGCATTTTTTGCAAATTCTTTCATTTCGTGGAATATTTGAAAAACGGCCAAATTCAATTAGAAGCTTATGAGCAGATATACGTAGTTTGCAAATAGCTCTTCTAAAACCAAAGTTCTTAACCAAAGAGAGATAATTTTCATAACCAAAATTTTGTTTAAATTTCAAATAATTGAACAATTTTCCATCAGAAGCATTTTTTTTGGCTAACATAATAATTGTTAATATATTTAGTGTGAATTAATTTGTTAGATATATTAAAAATTTATATTGTCCAAAATGTTTTACTTCTTGTTTAATTTCAAAAACTTCTAATAACTTTTTAACAAATGAGAACCAAGAAGTTATGTTAGATTTGTGAAACTCTTGGCTGCATTTATAATCGTCTTTCAACAGACTGAATTCAGTCGGAAGATTTTCAAATCTATACCAGTATTTAACAATTGACTTTACAATATCATCTTGTAGGGGGAAACGCCCCAGTTCTGATAAAAGAGCAAAATTTACACTCCTTTTGTGTACACCAAGTATAAATTTAGAGAACTTGAGATGAAGTTTCTCACACTGAAGATTTTTTATAAATATTTTCAAGATTAAGGTAGTTCGGGGGTTTAAATTTTCGCGCCTTCTGCGCAGAAAGTTGCGCATTCTCTTGTCGTAAACAAATATTTTTACGATAACCCGATAAATACAAAAAACATTGGTAAACAATTTTTTTCAGCGGACAACTTACTTTGAATAATATTTTTTGCAATCATTCAATGAAACGAATGTGTTTAATTTATCTTTTTATAAGACGAAATGTAGCATGTTTACTTCCGGTAAAAGTGAATGGTGAGTAGTCGAAAAAAATCTCAACAAAAAGAGAAGATATGAAACAAGTGAACCGCTTATTAAGATGACTGACTTGATTCTCAGGAATAATACATATTGAGAATCATTTTGGTGTATTATTAAGCGGGTTCACAAATTAACATCACTGAAACTGGACTTGAAAGTGACGGAGCACCCTTTGAAAAAAATGGCCATGGAGGTAAGATGTTAATTTCGCAATGCGACAATCGCAATAAATAATAGTCTGCTCTAAAGAAATTATGCCATCCATCAGAAACCACAAGGGGCAATTCTCACAAACAAAATCTGTCAAAAAAATAACAAAATTAATTCTAGATAGAGTTCAGCAAAAACATAAAAACAACAACCGAGTATCAGATCATTCCTATGCTACATTTTGTAACCCCGTAACACCAACAGAGAACATTACAGCAAGCACATTAACTGATGATGACTTAACATATATACCACCTGATCTTGTACCCTTAAGTCACTGTAGACTAGTGACTGAACTGGACACATTGGCTAACCAGCTAAAAGGTTGCAGAGAATGTAGTATACCTTTACAGCATGATGCAAAGGGAGTCCGGTGCTATGGTCTGACCGGCATAGTGTACATTATTTGTCAAAACTCGTCATGTCAAACCTTAAACAGAATTAAACTAGGCAAGGTCCACTTTGGGAGAGAAAAGAAAGGTGTTGGAATTTTTGATGTCAACACGAAAGCTGCAACAGGTTTCTTTCATGTAGAGTTTCTAACCTTCCCAACCCCACATATGTCACCTGACATTTTTATTAGTCCTCTGGAAAAATAGTAGTGTCTGTTGACTTTCTTTTATGTTCATCTCATCATAAATCTGTTATTTATAAAATAGCATAACATTTTCTTGGTTGTAAAATTGAGACTGGAAATGGGGAATGTGTCAAGGAGACAACAACCTGACCAAAGAGCAGAAAACAGCCACCGATGGGTCTTCAACAATGAGAAAATCCTGCACGCTGAGGCATGCTTCAGCTAGCCCCGTAACAAAAATGTGTACTAGTTCATTGAATAAGGACGTCATACTATATATATATATATAGCTACATCATGTACATGTAAACTCTGAAAGACCGAAATATATAAATATGAACTATAATTAAAAATCATAAAAGACAAACAAAGGCTAGAGGCTCCTGATTTGGGACAGGCACAAAAATGCGGCAGGGTTAAACATGTTTTGTGAGATCTCAAGCCAATGGCTATATGCACATTAAAACTCAGTTTAAGTGAAGTCTGAGTCCGATGTCAAAATAGGTAACAAAAGAAACTAAACAAAATGACAATTATATATAAATTAACAAATGACTACCAACTGTTACTGACATGCCAGCCCCAGACCTCAATTAAACTGATTGAAAGATTATGTTTCATCATATGAATATCAACACTATCCCTTCCGTTAGGGGTTTAGTATCATACTATTTGTCGTCTGTTTATGTAGTTCATACGTGTTTCTCGTTTTTATATAGATTAGACCTTTGATTTTCCCGTTTGAATGGTTTAACACTAGTAATTTTTGGGGCCCTTTATAGCTTGCTGTTTGGTGTGAGCCAAGGCTCCGTGTTGAAGGCCGTACCTTGACCTATAATGGTTTACTTTTTTAAATTGTTACTTGGATGGAGAGTTGTCTCATTGGCACTCATACCACATCTTCCTATATCTATCATAAAATATATGAGAAGAACATAACCCTGTACATCTGTACATGTATAGAAGAATAACATATAAATTATACTTTATTTCAAGTTATAGAAACAACGAGGCGCTTTTGAAGGGGCAACATAATAAGAAAATAACAATTAAAGCAATACAAAAGAACAATACTGACAGAAAGAATTACTTGATTGAGAAAAATGAAAAAAAAAAACACATCATGTACAAAATCATTAATTATACCTTGGATTTAATATATAAATTATAGCATCAAACACATTTATAACAGCATTTGTCTACTGGTATATATTTATAATTCATCTAAACATCAGCCGAACAATGTTATAGATCTGTAAATTTGCTTTCGCAAATTTATTTGTTCTTCCCTCGCCGGGATTCAAACTCATACTACTGAGATATCGTGGCACAAAATCGTATTGCACTATATCCAACACGTTAGACCACTCGACCACCTAGGTTTCACATATATATTACATTAAAAAACAATTCTGATAGCCTCAATTACAGAATTTGTAGTGATGATGAAAGGTCATGAAAGGCCTTGTGAAAAACACTTCATTAAACATGTTAAAAAATACACATTGAACCAATTTTTTTGATGTATTCACAATTCATTTTTATTAAACATCTTTTAATTATATAATAAACAATACAGGAATGATACATGCTGGTATTGGCGAGACTCAGCTCAACAACTTTTTGTCATCACTTAATGTCCATTGCATAGATGCAAAGACCTTGAAAATTAGAGAAAATGAAGCCGGCAGTGTTCTTGAGAATCAGGCCATCATGTCACAACAAAGACACTTGCAAAGGGAAATATTGAATTCCACAACAGGTTTGATAACAATTATGGCTATTTTGTATTTATATACATTTTCTTATACTTTACTTTATAAGCCTGATTGAGTACTTGATAATATTGGTATAGTCTGAATATGGTCTCGACAAATGCTCAACCAGTCTGGACTCAGCTTCTACAATCTCAACCAAAAAAAAAGCAAGAATTTTCAGTTTGTACTTAAATCAGATAGTCACCTTTAATTTTCTTTCTAACTTTTCTAAATCAACTTAGATTTTCATAAAACTATACAGCTATCTTAATTATATATTGATCTTACAAAATGCAGGTAATGTGGCTATTTTGTTGATTGCCATAAAATTTAAGGATTTAATTAATAGGTAAAAAAAAGTCACAATTTTCAATTGGGTCTAAATTCATAATGATACCTATAAATTAAATTTTTAAATTTGACAGCAATAAAAAAAAGTTGAAAACTACCAAATAACCTGGTATTTTGCAAGATCAATATTTAATTGAGATAGCTAAAGATGTTGATGAAAAATCAAAATTATAACTTGAAAAAGTTATGAAAATATTTAAAAGTGACTATCAGAATTTACTCCAAACTGAAAATTCTAGCTTTTTTTAACCAATTAATTAGGTCCTTAAATTTGATAGCTACACTCTAAACTACCAAACAACCTTGCATTCTGTAACACCATCATATAATTCAGATAGCTATAAAGTTTAATGAAAATCCAAGTTGATTTGGAAAAGTTTTATAAAAATTTAAAGGTGACAATCAGAATTTAGTCCAAACTGAAAATTCTTGCTGTTTTTACCTATTAATGAAATCCTTCAATTTGACAGCAATACACCAAGCTACCAAACAATATGGCATTCTGTAAGATCAATATATAATTGAGATAGCTGCAAAGTTTTATGAAAATCTAAGTTAATTGGAAAAATTTAAAGTTATAATTAAAGGTCACTATATTAATTTAATCAGAACTGAAAATTCTATTTTTTTCTACCTATTAATCAAAGCCTTTAATTTGACAGCAATGAACAAACTACCAAATAACCTGAAATTTTGTAAGATTAATATAAAATTCATTATATAGTTAGATAGGCTCATTCAGACCAGTTTAGACTAAATTTGAAAATCATGATTGTAGACACAGGTCGAGACAGAGTCAAGACTAGAGGAGCATTTGTCGAATCAATTATACAGACTATACCAAGATTGATATTAATTAATCACACTAATTAAGGACAGTCAAGACCAAAGTGGAGTACAGAAGTGATCTATTATTACTGCTTATTTCTATATATATATATATATATATATTATATGTGCATTTTTTTCCTATTAAATTAGAAGATCAAACAGACAGTAGAAGTGGAATATGCATAAGTACTGATACATGCTGGCAGAAAAAAGGATCTGGCCGATCGTACAACAGCTTATCAGGTAAAAATGACAGTGCTTATTTCATGTCCATTCAGTGTGATCACCTGGTGGGGTGGATCTATAGAAATGCATTTTGCTTGTTAAATATTAGTTGCTTTCTTTTTGGAATATACCCCATTATAAAAAAAGAAGATGTGGTATGATTGCCAATGAGACAACTCTCCACAAGAGACCAAAATGACACAGAAATTAACAACTATAGGTCACCGTACGGCCTTCAACAATGAGCAAAGCCCATACCGCACAGTCATACCCATTAGTCCAGTCAATCTAGCATAAATTTGACCATAACCTTAAAGTAATTGCAACAGAAGATTTTTAAGTTTTAATCTTTAGCATTATACCCCAAATATACACAGCAAAAAGTTCCATATATTCTTACTTGAGGAAGACTAAAAAATCATGATTTAAAATTCCTATGGAGATTTGCATTGAAAAAGGGAGATAACTCTGCAAAAAAGGCAGAAATATCAATTAAAATTGATACAAAATTATAACTTTACCGCTTCTATTCAATAGAATGTATTGATTGTTGATATTTTAGCCTTCTTTAGAGTATAACAAACAACTCTTAAGGTGTTTCCCTATCTTTTATCAAGCTACATTCTAGATTTCGTCATTCATTAGTTGACCATTTATTTATATATTCTTCTTTTTGTGGTTTAAAGTTTCTTTAAACAAGGTAGATGCTGAACAAATATATAATATACAGATATAAACTAAACCAAATTTTCACATTATTTTTTCAAAATGGTCACAAAGCCACAAATTTGCAATTTGTTAAATGAAAAAAACAAAAAAAATGTGGATAGTGTCCACATGTGGACACAGATGATGACCCTGCTTGCATATCATATAGTTATAAAGAAACATAACTGAAGAACGGTAAAAGTGACGCTACCCAAATTTGAACTTGATCTCAGTTTTGTGGTAATAAGCATTGTGTGTAAGTCTCATAACATTTGGTTCAGGCTAACTTAAGTAGAGAACAGAAACTAAAAATTCAGCAGTTTTTCTATTTGTAAACACGCATAACTCTAGAACGGTTGTGTATAAGTTTTATAACATTTGGTTGAGACAAACTAAAGTTAGAGAACGTACGTACAGACGGACAAGGGTAAAACTTAATGCCCCCTCCCCTACGATGGGGGCATAATAAAAATACCCATAACTCTTTGGTTTTGTACATTTCATGAGCTGAAGATTATATAATATAGTCAAATATGAACTTATAACCACATCTAAGTATCATACAGTTTACTTTACATAAATTTTAAGAAAATCAACCAAAAACTGACAAAAAAAAGACTCTTTTTTTTTTGGCGGAGTTATCTCCCCTTCCAATATGAATTTCCATAGGAAATTAAAAATGCTCACCAGGCTAAAAACAATACTTCTAATACTTTGTATAAACTTCTTTTTTCTTGACCGATTTCATTATGATTAATTCACAGGCTTGAATTTATGGGGTTCTTTAATATGTTGAATCTATTGGATTTTGGACCCTGTATTTTAATTGGTGCATATTGAGATCCAAAGGGTCTGAAATAAAACTTTATTCATAGTTGCATTTTTTGGATTCTTTGATATGCCCAATCTTACAATATATTTGGATTTTTAATTTGGTCCCAATTTTCAAATAGATAAGTCCACATAAAATATCCAAAGCTGTCAAAATTTTTTAAAATCTTAAAATTTTTCAAAAATTCAAAAATTAAATTATTGGGTTCTTTGGTATATCGAATACAACCATGTATTTAGATTTTTATACGACCGCGGTCGTATATTGGTATGACGTTGGTGTCGTCGTGGTTGTCGTCGTCGTCCGAAGACAAATTGGTTTTCGCACAATAACTTTAGTTTAAGTGGATAGATCTCTATGAAATTTTACCATAAGGTTCAATACCACAAAAGGAAAGTTGGGATTAATTTTGGGGGTTATGGTACCAACAGTTCAGGAATTAGGGGCAATTTTTGTAACTTCCAGACAATAACTTTTGTTCAAGTGTATGGATCTCTCTGAAATTGTACTGCAAGGTACCATACCACAAAGGGAAGGCTGGGATTGAGTTTGGGGGTGATGAATCATAAGGGGATTCAAAAAATGGGGGGGGGATTTTTTTGTTCCTTTTTTTTTTCCTTTTTGTTTTTCTTTAAAATTTTCCATTTTAAGTTGGTTATTTCTGATTTATATATAGATTTCATCAAAAATTAAATTCTTTGGATTCTTTGATATGCTGAATCTAACCATGTATTTAGATTTTGGATATTGGACCATAATAGGTAAATTAAAATTTTTTAAGTTCTTAGACCACATTCATTCTGTGTCAGAAACCTATGCTGTGTCAAATATTTAATCACAATCCAAATTCAGAGCTGTATCAAGCTTGAATGTTGTGTCCATACTTGCCCCAACTGTTTAGGGTTCAACCTCTGCAGTCGTATCAAGCTACGCCCAGTGGAGCATTTTATTGAATTTGGTACCAATTTTCAAATAAATAATTTCACATTAAGGTGTAAAGGAGTCAAATTTTTTTTTTGATTCTTCAAAAGTTGAGATCTTGGGGTTCTTTGATATGGTGAATCTTATCGTGTATTTAGATTTTTGATTTGTTTGGCCTTGTTTTCAAGTTGGTCGAAATTGGGGTCCAAAATTAAATTTTGTTTTATTTCAACAACATTTTAGTATATGGGGTTCTTTGATATGCTCAATATAAACCTGTTCTTTTCAAATCTTGGCTTGAACATTGTGATTTAGATATAAAACTTCAATATGTTGCATTTTGAAGGAGTTTCAACACTGATTGGAAAAACCACAGGCAAAGTTGTAAACCATAAGGTTCGCATATCAAGCTGTAGAATTTGTGAAAGGGCAAAGAGCAGAGGTGTCTTACCACGACAACATAAGTGTAGAAAGAATTGGAGTGGTTCGGCAAAGGTATTTACCATATGAAAGCAATAACAATGGTAATAAACAGCTGCGCCATGAGCACATGATACGCCCGTCACATTTTCAAAGAAAAAGTTCAATTACTTCTCAATGTCATATTTCAAATGTATAAAAATCAAAAGGGAGCTTACATCAATAGATATAAACAATTCACTAAAGTTTCATGAGAATTGCTGAAAGCATTTTTGAGTCATTGTCCAAAACTGGAAAATCACCCCTTTTTTAATGAATAAAACCCCATAACTCGGAAATGTAAAATCTAAAATTTATAAAAAACCAAAGGGATCTCACATCAATATACATAACAATTCATCAAAGTTTTATGCAAATTAGTTAAAGCGTTTTTGAGTTAATTTAATGTCCTACATGTTGACAACAGAAGAACAGACGGATAACGATATCCCATAATACGTCCCGTAATCTTTGCATTGTGAAAACAAACAACACTTCAATATTTACTTTGACAATAAGTTGTAATTTTGAATTGGCATATTCAATGTTTAGTTGATAAAAGTGAATGTGAGGACCATTCATTCTTTCGTGTTTCCAAAACATTTCAATTTCAAATAATTGACAGATTATTAGAATTGTTAGATACAACTGTTGAATTAATCAAACCGTGTAAGCTTTCATTTTTGAGGAATTTTTACAAAATTTTGTCAATGCAAAGTTTAAGGCTTTTGATAATCAAATATGGGGTTGTGGTATCATCTAAATGTTTACTGAATACACATTATTTTAAAAACTATTTCAGGGTATGGAACCAGATATGGTAGTCGAAATGTTAAAGGAATTAGATGAAAAAGGAGTGGATATATTAGAAGTAGTAGGAGATGATGATTCCACAGGGTTTGACCGAGCCAAGCAATTAATGCCCAATTCAAAAATGGAAAAAATAAGTGATAGAAATCATATCAAACATAACATTATTTCAAAGATAAATGAACTAAAGCCAAAACACAAAGAGTTAACTGGAATGGTTTGTGACGCAATTGTTAAAAACTTTACATACGTTGTCAACCAGAATGTGGGTAATCCGAGTGGTATTGAGGACGGCCTACATGCATCAATAAAACACATATTTGGCGAACATGATAACTGCAATGAAACTTGGTGCGGATACCTTAAAGACAAGGATTCTTATATCCATTCAAATCTTCCCCGTGGAAAAGACCTATGTTCGTCTGAACTCAGATCAGATCTTTAGAAACTGTTTATTCAAAAAATGGTTCCACAGTCTAAAAAGCTATCTAACTTGGGCTCATCACAGGCAAATGAAAGCTTTAATAACTTAATTGCTCTCAAAGCTCCAAAAACCAAACATTTCTCCACATCAGCATCTTTAAATTACAGAGTCAGCTCAGCTGTACTCCAAAAGAATGAGGGTTATAATTACATTGCTGAGGTATTATTTGATAAACATCCTATACTTAATTGCAATTAAGACAATTGAACAGAAATTAGCAACTAACATTAAGGCTTTAATAATCACAATGAATGTGTAATAAATGCAATCTTACTTCATATATATATATACTTCTCTATTAAAAAAAAATAAACTAAAAAAATATAAAAATAAGAAAATACGGTATGATTGCAAATGAGACATCTATTTACCCAAGACAAAAAGACATATCTAAGCAACTATGTTAGGGCTTTTCCAAAAATAAATGTATCATGGGGGGTGGGTGGGTAGGAAGGCACTTTTTATTTGACCCCACCATGCATACATTTTAAATTGGATATTTCATATAAATGTTCAGGCAATCTTTCTTAAATAACCACCACCCATCAAATTTTAATAAAAGTGCCTTCCTCCCTCAAATACCATTAATTCTGGAAAAGCCCTTACTTTTACAGCCTTTAAAAATGAGCAAAAAAAACAATACATTATGATATCAACTGTTAAAGATTCCTGGGTAAATATTCTGATTATTCTACATCAGGTCAAGATTAATCTCAATTTTGCCGAATTCTATTCAATGATTGATTATTGCTGCTCAAAATGTAATATTCATACTACAAAATGCCTTCAACTTTCATTGCAAAAACATACAAAATATGATTTTTTTTAAGGAATTATTATAAAGATGATAAAGACTTGCATGATTTTAAATGAATTGATTTTTCAGTTAAACACATCTATAGGCCTGTCACCTGGAAATGAGACCCTAAGCAGGGGTAATAAATTAAACAAGAAGAGAGAGGGCAACAAAAACAGATTCAAAAGCAAACAGGGAAAAAGACAACGTAAAGTTCTCAAAAAGAAACGCCTCCAAAAAACAACAGTGGCTGAAGTCAAAGAAGGGAGAACATACCACAGTTCAATCGGTAATAATTCTTATATTGACAGAAAGTATGATGTGCTTTTTACTTTTGAAGAGGTCAATATACATAATTATTATTATAATAGAAACATAGCATCAATATACTTTAAAATAGAAACAAGGCTTTGGATATATAAAATAACCTTTGATACATGTGATCATTATATCCAAATAGGAGAATGCTACACCATCAGGTCCATGCATATGTAATATTCATGTATATATTTTTATGTCCCCAAGTCAAAAAAGTTTTCAAATTATAAAGTGACTGTGCAATTAATCACCAACTGTGAAAATGCGTGAGATTTCAGCCAGACATTAAAGTTATATAATTAACATGAAGATGTAATCATGAAATTTACCAGACTTCTGAAGTATTGTAATTTTTGGGACAATTTAGTCACAAAATATTAATGAATTTTAGTAAATTTTGATATTTTATAAAGTTGAAATTATTTTCTTTCAAAGACTTGGTATATTTTATTTTAATAAGGGTTAGAAGATTTTGCAACAATAGACATAGAAGAAATACCTGCAATTCCTGAAGCTGAAACCTTTACAAACATAGATGATGCACCAATAGTTTGTTTTGATTTAGAGACAACTGGTTTAAGTAAGTTATACATAATTAAACTTCAGAAATGAGTTACCTCAATTATAAAAAAATATTTCAGTGGATAACGTTAAAATTGAAAGAACTGCATTTTTTCATGACATCAAAGATATAACAATATCTACAGAAACACATTATCAATGTCTGTATATACTGTGTTAAGCCAAATTTTAAAGTCAATGCATATTAGGCTGCGTTATGAATAAAGTATATTAAGAGGATCATGAATGACTCACCTTGATAATTTAGCTTGATTTTGATGATTATTCTAATGTTCTTTTTTTCTTTTAGTTGAAATAAAACCAAAAACTGAAAATTGCTGAAACAATACATTTAAGGGGCAATAACTCTTTCATTTTTTTTTTAGCAATTTACACTTTGCATCTACCTTATTTTGGAGGTGAGATAAAATACAAAGATGATAATTTTAGAAAAATATTTACAGACCAGTGGAGCAAAACTAATTTTTTTTAGTTATTTCAATGAAGAGAGATATTAAATAAGGAGATGTGGTATAATTGCCAATAAGACCATCAACTAAAGTTCAAATAAGGGGGATAGAAGACTAAGTCCTGTTGATAATTTTTTGACAATTAATTGCTTTTTCGAAATACCTTTTACAGTTTAGATGCACAATAATAAACAAAATGTTTAACTTCAGGTAGATATTCTGATATAACCCAGATAGCTGCATGCACCAAAGACAGTTCCTTCAGTCGATATATATTTCCAGACCAACAAATTTCAAGAGAAGCATCAGAAATAACAAAAATCACTATTGTAGGACAAAAAATGTATTACAATGGTAATGCTGTTGTTTATAAGCATAAACATGAAGGAATGACTGATTTTTATACGACCGCAAAAATTGAAAATTTTTTGGTCGTATATTGGTATGACGTTGGCGTCGTCGTCGTCGTCGTCGTCGTCGTTGTCGTCGTCGTCGTCGTCGTCGTCGTCGTCGTCGTCGTCGTCTGGCGTCGTCCGAAGACACATTGGTTTTCGCACTCTAACTTTAGTTTAAGTGAATGGATCTCCATGAAATTTTACCATAAGGTTCAATACCACGAAAGGAAGGTTGGGATTGATTTTGGGGGTTATGGTACTAACAGTTAAGGAATTAGGGGCCAAAAAGGGGCCAAAAATAAGCATTTTTGTAACTTCCAGACAATAACTTGTGTGTAAGTGTATGGATCTCTCTGACATTGTACCACAAGGTTCCATATCACAAAGGGAAGGCTGTAATTGATTTTGGGGGTAATTACCTCAAAATTTTAGGAATTAGGGGCCAAAAAAGGGGCAAAAAACAAGCATTTTTCTAGTTTCATGACAATAACTTGTGTGTAAGTGTTTGGATATTTCTGAAATTGTACTACAAGGTTCCATATCACAAAGGGAAAGCTGGAATTGAGTTTGTGGGTAATTGCCTGAAACGTTTAGGAAAAGGGGGCCAAAAAGGGGCCAAAAATAAGCATTTTTCTAGTTTTCAGACAATAACTTGTGTTCAAGTGTATGGATCTCTCTGAAATTGTACTGCAAGGTACCATACCACAAAGGGAAGGCTGGGATTGAGTTTGGGGGTGATGAATCATAAGGAGGTTAAAAAAATTTGGGGGGGGGATTTTTTTTTTAAATTTTTTTTTCTTTTTTTCCTTTTTTTTTTCTTTTAAAATTTTCCATTTTAAGTTGGTTATTTCTGATTAATATTTAAAAGCAAATAATAATGATATGGTAGGAGATACACACCAAACAGGATGTGTAAATTATTATATAATAAGTATTGTGCAATAGCAAGAAATTTTCAATTGCACAGTATTGCACAATTGCAAGAAATCTTCAATTGCACAGTATTGCGCAATAGCAAGAAATCTTCAATTGCACAGTATTGCGCAATAGCAAGAAATATCCAATAGCACAATATTGCGCAATAGCAAGAAATTGTCAATTGTACAGTATTGCACAATAGCAAGAAATATTCAATTGCACAGTATTGTGCAAAAGAAGATACTTCGTATAAATTGCTTATTTCTTGATCAATTTCAATGGGGTTTTATTCTTGAATTCTTGGGGTTCTTTAATATGCTGAATCTAACCGTGTATTAAGTTTTTGGATTTTGGGCCCCGTTTTTAAATTGGTCCACATTGAGGTCCAAAGGGTCCAAAATTTAACTTTGTTTGATTTCATCAAAAATTGAATTATTGGGGTTCTTTGATATGCCGAATCTAACCGTGTATTTAGATTCTTAATTTTTGGTTCCGTTTTCAAATTGGTCTACATTAAGGTCAAAAGGGTCCAAAATTAAACTTAGTTTGATTTTAACAAAAATTGAATTTTTAGGGTTCTTTGATATGCTGAATCTAAACATGTATTTAGATTTTTGATTATGGGCCCAGTTTTCAAGTTGGTCCAAATCGGGGTCCAAAATTAAACTTTGTTTGATTTCAACAAAAATTGAATATAGGGGTTCTTTGATATGCTGAATCTAACCATGTATTTAGATTTTTGATTTTTGGGCCCCGTTATCAACTTTGTCCACATTGAGGTCAAAAGGGTCCAAAATTAAACTTTGTTTGATTTCATCAAAAATTGAATTCTTGGGGTTCTTTCATATGCTGAATCTAACCATGTATTTAGATTTTTTATTTGTGGACCCGCTATCAAATTGGTTCATATTGAGGTCAAAAGGGTCCAAAATTAAACTTTGTTTGATTTCATCAAAAATTGAATTATTGGGGTTCTTTGATATGCCAAATCTAACCGTGTATTTAGATTTTTAATTTTGGGTCCCGTTTTTAAATTGGTCTACATTAAGGTCCAAAGGGTCCAAAATTAAACTTAGTTTGATTTTAACAAAAATTGAATTCTTGGGGTTCTTTGATATGCTGAATCTAATCATGTGTTTAGATTTTTGATTATGGGCCCAGTTTTCAAGTTTGTCCAAGTTGGGGTCCAAAATTAAACTTTGTTTGATTTCAACAAAAATTGAATATATGGGGTTCTTTAATATGCTGAATCTAAACATGTATTTAGATTTTAGATTTTTGGCCCAGTTTTCAAGTTGGTCCAAATTGGGGTCCAAAATTAAACTTTGTTTGATTTCAACAAAAATTGAATATATGGGGTTCTTTGATATGCTGAATCTTACCATGTATTTAGATTTTTTATTTGTGGGCCCGCTATCAAATTGGTTCATATTGAGGTCAAAAGGGTCCAAAATTAAACTTTGTTTGATTTCATCAAAAATTTAATTATTGGGGTTCTTTGATATGCCAAATCTAACCGTGTATTTAGATTTTTAATTTTGGGTCCCGTTTTTTAAATTGGTCTACATTAAGGTCCAAAGGGTCCAAAATTAAACACGTTTGATTTTAACAAAAATTGAATTTTTGGGGTTCTTTGATATGCTGAATCTAAACATGTGTTTAGATTTTTGATTATGGGCCCAGTTTTCAAGTTGGTCCAAGTTGGGGTCCAAAATTAAACTTTGTTTGATTTCAACAAAAATTGAATATATGGGGTTCTTTGATATGCTGAATCTAAACATGTATTTAGATTTTAGATTTTTGGCCCAGTTTTCAAGTTGGTCCAAATTGGGGTCCAAAATTAAACTTTGTTTGATTTCAACAAAAATTGAATATATGGGGTTCTTTGATATGCTGAATCTTACCATGTATTTAGATTTTTTATTTTGTGGGCCCGCTATCAAATTGGTTCATATTGAGGTCAAAAGGGTCCAAAATTAAACTTTCATCAAAAATTGAATTATTGGGGTTCTTTGATATGCCAAATCTAACCGTGTTTTTAGATTTTTAATTTTGGGTCCCGTTTTTTAAATTGGTCTCCATTAAGGTCCAAAGGGTCCAAAATTAAACTTAGTTTGATTTTAACAAAAATTGAATTCTTGGGGTACTTTGATATGCTGAATCTAAACATGTGTTTAGATTTTTGATTATGGGACCAGTTTTCAAGTTTGTCCAAGTTGGGGTCCAAAATTAAACTCTGTTTGATTTCAACAAAAATTGAATATATGGGGTTCTTTGATATGCTGAATCTAACCATGTATTTTGATTTTGGACATTGGACCATAATAGGTAAATTAAAAAAATTGAAGTTCTTAGACCACATTCTTTCTGTGTCAGAAACCTATGCTGTGTCAAATATTTAATCACAATCCAAATTCAGAGCTGTATCAAGCTTGAATGTTGTGTCCATACTTGCCCCAACTGTTCAGGGTTCGACCTCTGCGGTCGTATCAAGCTGCGCCCAGCGAAGCATTTTATTTAACTTATTTGTCAAGTTTCACAGATAAACCTGTATTGGTAGGACATAATATAAAACGATTTGACTGCCATGTTTTATTTCATACCTTAAAATGTATGAATATGTACAGTGAACTATGTGCAAGTACTGTTGCATTTTTAGACTCTTTGAATTTGTTTAAACTTGTTTCACCTGGCTTGTCATCTTATAGCCAGTCTTTTCTTGTTGACAAACTATTAGGTCAACAGTATGAATCTCATAATGCTGTGTATGACACAAAATTACTTTTTAATTTAGTCACTGAGAAAGGTAATGTTTCTCAATTTATTAGTGAACTTGCTTTTTCACCTAGCTACCCTCAGTTATACCAGATGCAATTGGCCAACTTGAAAACTTTTGAAAAGCTAGTTCAATCAAAATGTCTGTCAAAAGCTATGGCACTAAAGACAGCGAGGTCTAACCTAAGGTTTCAACATTTCCAATTAGCAGTACAACGAAATGACATGGCAGGACTCAAAGCTTTAATGACAGAAAAGTCTTCAACTGGGGTAGTTAGAGTGACATCAAACAAAAAAATTATACAAAGAGTATATGAGTATCTAATTAGTCAAAAGTAAAGGAAAAATATGTTTTGTTATATAAGGTAGTCAGTCAGTGGTAATACTTTAAGAGCATATGATACAGTTACAGGGGAGGTCATGAAGTTTTAACATAAAATATTATTCCTCCTGTATGATAAGAATTAGAAAATTGATCGTTGTTATGCAGAACTTTACCTTAACTAACCTTTTGTTGAAATTCATGACCAGAGATATACATTAATGTGTACTGTAAATTACTGTAAATGGTAGCGTGAGCCCTGCTGTAATATTTGTATATGTATTGTAGACATATCTTCATGATATAAACCAAATTGTTTTGATAGTTATACAACTTTATATGAACCTTGAATTTTTTTAGATATCAATTTTTTTAAGTTTGTGTAATAATTTATTGTTGATTGGAAAACCATTACTTACTGGATGAGATGCATTTGAGTTTTTAATGCATACATAATCCAGTGAAGTAATTTATCCGGCTATAACCCAAATTTTGTTCATAAAGATAGACTGTATGAACATAGTATGGTAAATTTTGACTGTACACTTTCTTGAAAAAAAGTTCAACTTGTGATAAGAGTTTTAAAATATGTTGAATTAACAGTTCTATAAATCTTAGTCTTTTCTGTGTTTTTTTATATATATTTTGGTGGATTATTTGTATTGCTTGTACAGGCAATTAGAACAAGTATATAGAAATTTTTGGAAAATAGCTTAACAATTATAAAAAAGCTGCAGGAACAATTGTAGTCTTTTCTCTCAGGTGTTTATATTAGTAAAAAGACATCCAAGGTTATTTAGAAATGTTATTGCTGTTGAAACTTTAAAAAGCTATCTATAGATAACATACTTTCATCTATTTGTACAGAAGTATCAAAATACTGTATATTCAAAAAGTAAAATTTTGAATGAGATGTCTGGCATAATTATACTCCTACCTCTGTGGATGGGAAAGAAGGAGAATTCCATCTTTAAAAGATTGAATATGGGATAAAATGATATCAGAAAGACTTATACAAGTTACGGCAAATATATTCAAACAAACAGTATTTTGATGACTTCAATCATGACTATTTGATGTTTACATGATGATACATGTATTCAGGTATTGGTCAGGTCAATGTTTGCGCTGAACATAGTTAATGAAATTTTACACATATTCATTATGATCTACATTTTGCAAATAATTGTATAATAAACCAAATTAGGGTTAAATCTAGAATTTGTCATGTTGAAGTCCAAAGCAAAATGTCTTAATATGTTTTTAAAAATTTATATTATTAGCAAGGCCTTTGCAAATTTTATTCAGTGAAATTATTTAACCTAGTTACTACAAACAGTATTTCTAACTGAGAAAAACATGTAATTTATTTGGCATCTTTATTTAATTATATATGTACAAACAAACGTAAGAATAGATATCCATTGAAAATAAAATAAATGTATTAGATCACATGTTGTTGTTTCACTTCTATCAAGAAATATGTTTAGTCATGTTAATTCCCTAAATCAACTCGGTAACACACAAAAAAAACAATTATAACTTGCACATCACCACATAATACTGGATAATCAAATGGAGTGGAAAAAGAGGGGCACTTACTGTGCTGATTATGTGTGGTAGTGATGGTAAGTCTATTTTTTGTCAAATTTATTCGGAATGTATTTTTTTAATATTAAAAAGAAATGAAAAGAAAACGAGAACAAATGCTCACATTTATCTGAATCTTTAATGTGTGATAAAAGAAAGATTAACCATACTAATGGGACATTCTAACTCATAACATAATAAGAAAATAAACAGAAAATGCCATGTTTCCTTTACATAATATTTTATGTTGGTGCTCCTTTAGAAATGAGTCTTATATATAAAGCAAACACAGCCTATTTACACCGAAATCTGCACATGATACTTAATAATACTTCAAAGTTTGATAAGAAAATGCAAAGGAAACTGCAAGATATCAATCATAATATTTGGTAAAAGCAAACTAAAGTTAGAGAAAGGAAAGGAAAAATTCAGCAATTTTTCAATTTGTAAAGGGGCATAACTCTAGAACGGTTAAAGTGACACCAACAAAATTAAAACTTGGTGTGTGTTGTGTGGTAAAAACATTGTGATAAAGTTTCATAACATTTGGTTGAGGCAAATAAAAGCTGGAGAACGGAAATCAAATCTGGGACGTACATACGGACGAACAGACTTACATACGGACAAGGGTAAAATTCAATGCCCCCTCAGCTACGATGGGGCATACAAATTAGCAACTTCTGTCATTTTTTTCCTGTGAATATTCAAAAAGAAAGGTTTTTTTCCAATTTCCCCTATATCCATTCAGAAATTAGCCTACTGCACCCATTTTCAGAGGCCAAAAAATCTCTTGAATGGCCGGTGACCCCCAAATTTGATTCCAATTTTATAAAATAGAGACTTCAAGCTTTTCAGTATGAAAAAATGAGCAACTTCTGTCGTTTTGTTTGCTGTGAAATTTTAATGAAAGAGGTTTTATGTCCATTTTCCCTATATCTAGCCTTTTTGCACTCATTTTCACAGGTCAAAAAATCTCTTGTGACCCCCAAATTTTATTCCAATTTCATAAACTAGAGACATCAAGCTTTCCGTATGAAAAAATGAGCAACTTCTGTCATTTTGATTGCTGTGAAAATTCAATCAAAGAGGTTTTTATGTCCATTTTCCCTAAATTTAGCCTTTTTGCACTCATTTTTAGAGGTCAAAAAATCTCTTGGATGGCCGGTGACCCCCAAATTTTATTCCAATTTCATAAAATAGAGACATCAAGCTTTTCAGTTTGAAAAAATGAGCAACTTTTGTCATTTTGTTTGCTGTGAAAATTCAATCGAAGAGGTTTTATGTCCATTTTCCCTATATTTAGCCTTTTTGCACTCATTTTTAGAGGTCAAAAAATCTCTTGGATGGCCCGTGACCCCCAAATATTATTCCAATTTCATAAAATAGAGACATCAAACTTTTCAGTATGAAAAAATGAGCAACTTCTGTCATTTTGTTTGCTGTGAAAATTCAATCAAAGAGGTTTTATGTCCATTTTCCCTATATTTAGCCTTTTTGCACTCATTTTTAGAGGTCAAAAAATCTCTTGGATGGCCGGTGACCCCCAAATTTTATTCCAATTTCATAAAATAGAGACATCAAGCTTTTCAGTATGAAAAAATGAGCAACTTCTGTCATTTTGATTGCTGTGAAAATTCAATCAAAGAGGTTTTTATGTCCATTTTCCCTATATTTAGCCTTTTTGCACTCATTTTTAGAGGTCAAAAAATCTCTTGGATGGCCGGTGACCCACAAATTTTATTCCAATTTCATAAAATAGAGACATCAAGCTTTTCAGTATGAAAAAATGAGCAACTTTTGTCATTTTGTTTGCTGTTAAAATTCAATCGAAGAGGTTTTATGTCCATTTTCCCTATATTTAGCCTTTTTGCACTCATTTTTAGAGGTCAAAAAATCTCTTGGATGGCCGGTGACCCCCAAATTTTATTCCAATTTCATAAAATAGAGACATCAAGCTTTTCAGTATGAAAAAATGAGCAACTTCTGTCATTTTGTTTGCTGTGAAAATTCAATCAAAGAGGTTTTTATGTCCATTTTCCCTAAATTTAGCCTTTTTGCACTCATTTTTAGAGGTCAAAAAATCTCTTGGATGGCCGGTGACCCCCAAATTTTATTCCAATTTCATAAAATAGAGACAATAAGCTTTTCAGTATGAAAAAATGAGCAACTTTTGTCATTTTGATTGCTGTGAAAATTCAATCAAAGAGGTTTTATGTTCATTTTCCCTATATTTAGCCTTTTTGCGCTCATTTTTAGAGGTCAAAAAATCTCTTGGATGGCCGGTGACCCCCAAATTTTATTCCAATTTCATAAAATAGGGACATCAAGCTTTTCAGAATGAAAAAATGAGTAACTTCTGTCATTTTGTTTGCTGTTAAAATTCAATCAAAGAGGTTTTATGTCCATTTTCCCTATATTTAGCCTTTTTGCACTCATTTTTAGAGGTCAAAAAATCTCTTGGATGGCCGGTGACCCCCAAATTTTATTCCAATTTCATAAAATAGGGACATCAAGCTTTTCAGTATGAAAAAATGAGCAACTTCTGTCATTTTGTTTGCTGTGAAAATTCAATCAAAGAGGTTTTATGTCCATTTTCCCTATATATCCATATAGCCTATTTGCACTCATTTTCAGAGGTCAAAAAATCTCTTAGATGGCCGGTGACCCCCAATTTTTTTTGGATTTTTTCAATTACCATGCTACAAAATTTAAGTTCACAAAGTATAAGAAAATTCTGTCATTTTTTTTCTATACCCCTGAACTACCTTAAATAAGAAAGGTTGTAATTTATTACAAGAAACATTATAACCTCCCCATACCTCTGAATTATATAACAGAATGGGTTTAAGGGTATGATCAAAAATATGAACACAGGCTTTTATTCCAGGAGACATATTTATAAAATCCTTTCTTAGTTTATAATAGGTCTTAAGAGCCTTATTATATAATTAAGTTTTAGCTAGATGAAAACTTCAGATGCAGTGAAGTGAACACTTAAGTATTTGTAATGAGAGACACAATCAATCAAGTTATTCTGTAGCAGGAAATCAGCCTGAATTTTTCTTCCAGCCTAATTAAAAATGATAACTTTAGTTTTTCTTATATTAACTTTCAGGCACCAGTCAGCACAATATTTTTCTAGCTGATTTAGTCTACTTTGGAGACCTGTGGCTGATGTTGATAATCACAATATCATCTGTATACATCAAACAATTCAATTTCTCTAAGTGAAGAAACTGCATTCAGACAGGAGTAAAGATAAGATGGAAAGTCATTTATAAAAAATTTTATCAAGAAGGACGCAGGTTATCCCCTTGCCTTACACCTAATTTAATGCTAAATGGGTCAGTGAGAGAAGCCCCAACTCTTACACATGCTTTACGATTCTTATACGTATCTGATATAATATTATAAAACAAGTACCAACTTTCATATTGATAAGCTTCAGTTTTAGACCTATATGAATTACACTGTCGAATGCTTTATGAAAGTCTACAAAAACAAGTATATAATCTACCCTCTTTACTGTGACAGTATTTGTCTATCAGTGTTTTTAGTATAAATGTATGATCTGAAGTTCTGGCATTTTTTGTAAAGCCAATCTGAGAATTATGAATTAAATTATTTTGGTACAAACATTTGTCAATTCTTGTATTTAAAATATTGTTAAAAGGTTTACCAATGGCACTAGTAATTGTTATAGTATTACCTCTATAGTTAGATGGATCACAAGGATCATCAGATTTGAAAATTGGCGAAATATAATATAACCATCAGCCCAAATCGTTGGGTACACACTGTTCTTGAGGCATAAATTAAACAATTTATATAAGCAATTTCACGCCTGGTAAACCATCAAATCTCAACCAAATGGTTAAGCGAGAAAAAAGTTTACTGGCACTTCCTGTTGAGCTTTTCTGGTACAAAATATCAAAAAATATAGATAGGGTAGGTCGACTTTTCATCAATTTATTATCAATCTGTAAATATTTTGTAAAATAGGAGAATGTCATGCCATAGATAACTAAATGAGAGCTTGTCTCGTTCATTACTCGACACCAATGTAATTTAGAATGACAGAACTTCAGATCATATTGCCTTTTATAGCAGGATCCTTATGATATCTTGAATAAATGTTACCTAAAGATATAACATTTTTGCGCATTTGAAAAAGATCGTTATCAAACCATTTTTTCTGGGGTCTGGAGCCCTTCTTAATCTTTTTAGGGGTTACCAGGGAAATTTTGGCTGCTGATAGAAAAATATCAAATAAATCCTGTGCCTTTTTGTTAATGTCTTCTGAAGAACAATTGCTATCATTAATAAGGAAAAATGAAATTTTCAGCTGGGTATCTGGTGACAAAAGTGCTTGCTGAAATTTAAGTTGAGAGTCATCAGTCCATTTGAAATTAACAGGGGCAGTACATATTTAAAATAAAATTGTTCCTACCCATAATTGTAAATATCAAACTATATAGAATATATTGGTAATTTAGGTATCAAATGAAAGGCAAAGGACTGCTGCTCCTTGTAGAACACCTTTTGACTAATAATTTTGAATAATGAAAAAATGTATGAATCAAATATAAAAAGGACGGCAATTATTGCGTATTGTCTGTTTCTAGTTTATTTTAGTTGTTTGGATGTTTAACGTTCTACAAAAGAACTAAATCCCCTCAGCCGGCGGTTTCTTTGCGGATTTTTTTAATAGAATCATATATTTTAGGCACTGACCGTTCATCTTTTGAGGGGGCATGAGTTTGCTCTCATGGAAACTTTTTCTTGATTAAAATAAAAAAAAAAATTTAAATTTTCAATAACATACAGAAACTAGAAATTTAGTTCGAAACACAATGTATTATTTATTTCCCCCAAATTTTCACTGGTAACAAAGTATTTTGTTCACTTTCCTCCTAAACAAGGAATTAATTAAAATATGTATTCAAGACATTTTAAATCAAACTATGTATTTAAAAAAAAACAGCCCACAAAAGATGAATGGTAGGTGTTGCATTGAACTTTCGAAAATGTTTCCTTATAATAAAAAAAAGCAACAGTTGTTCGTTACATATAACGACATCATGATATATTTAGGATAATTAGGTCGAAGAAACCATTTTTGATGACATCTGAATGAGAAATTAAATATTTTTTAACATGTTTTGCTATGTAGTTTATTTCGTATATCTGTAAGCTGGTAACGCATTGATATGTTCACCATATTACCCCTTGTTATTATCTATATAGTGATTAATATCATCTTTACATAACAGTATATTGCAAGACGCCGTACAGAAAACAGTTGAATATCTGGCCAACGGGACTGTAGAAATGGTTAAAGTTAAAGGAATTCTTACCTTGTTTATTTATTTCTTTCTTTCTCTCCGCTCGTTGGTACCCAATTTCCGGTGGCGATGATACACAGTGAGATACTAGGTTTATAATCAAGTATGTCCGACACGTGTTTTGTCCATATAAGACTCATCAGTTGAGTTCAAACCAAAACCTAAATCAGTAACTAACTTGATAAAACATAACTGAATATGTATTTCTACACAATAATGAACACGTGTGGTCCTACATCCTGTCGATACTTATATTTTGGCATTGCAAAAGGTTATGTTTTGCACACACTGTTTATGACGTCTTTACACGAAAAACATTTGCTGTGTAATGATTTATTTATTAGTTGTAATTGGCTTTGAACTGCGAGTCCTCTAAGGTCTGTATTTTGTGTCTTTAGTCTTTTTAGTGAGGAAAAGAAGAAACTGTCAAGTTAAGGCTGGCTAATGTTTAAAGAGCAGATTTCTCAACATGTCTTGAACAAATAGATGATTCAACATTTATTTCTCCTACAAAGAGCTAACCAGTAACATTCCATGTTTTGTCATGTCTGCGCCTTTTATGACTAACCACACGGTGTGGTTTTTGCTCATTGTTGAAGGCAGTACGATGACCTATAGTTTCTGGATCCGCTTCATGTTGGACGCTGTTGGATAGTTGTCTCATTAGCAATCATATCACATCTATTTATTTTATAAAGCAAGGTGTGTATGCTCGCTCATTTTGTTCGATACTAGTATTTGGTAGATGATGATAAAAATTTTAAAAGAGAGGCGAAAGATACCAGAGGAACATTCAAACTCATAGGTAGAAAATAGAAAGATTTTCTCATTTAAAACAAACAGCAGAAAAAAAGAAGATATTCATTCATTGCAAAAACGATGGTAATATAATCTTGAGTTTTAATAGGAAGACTAAGCTATTTTCCCCCTTAATTTCAAGTTTTCATAACATTTTCCTTGCTATTCCATTCCATTTCTATTTATTTTTTTATTGAAAGAAATGATATTTTGAAGGTGCAAAATAATGTATATCTTTAAACTACCTTTTTCCTAATAATTGAATTTTGTTCTTAAACAACACCCATTCACTAAACAATAGCTATTCAATTTATTTTGTTGACATTCGAGGAATAGATATTTTATCAAATGTACGTATTCCAGGAAGACACCGTTATCTAAACGCAAAATGTACTTGAACTTGTTCATATTTCTGGATTTGTCTTTTATAGGTTTATTGAATGCATAATAAGTGTTTCTGTTTTTATATGTGTCATTATTTGCTTTAATTATGTTATGTACTTAACGCAACTTAAATTATTTCCTTGACACGATTTTTATATTATTTATAGGAATATTGAGTAAAGTTGGTACATAAATTTTTATTTTACACCTTTTTATAGAAATGTACAAACTAGCTAAAACCGTATTGTTGTTTATGGCATTATCTTATCAAGGTAAGTAGTATACATGGCATATAAGGCTTGTTTTGCTTAATTTGATCACAGCAATATAAACGCTAAAAGCAAATGCCTCCTTGAATATATTTTGAAAAAACTTTTTAGGGGAAGGATGAATAATCCCAGAGTGGTATCTATCTATATAAATATTCATATTGATAATTTGTTTCTTTGTTTTTGTTTTTGTTTTTTTTTTTTTTGGGGGGGGGGGGGGGTCCAAAGGTTTAAAATTTAATAATAAAATAAAATTTAAATAACACCGTGCAGAACCCCACATGCGGGGTGTTGGGTAATTTTTATTCGAAATCGTTATAAGTTGGAGTGGCATATGTTCTTTTCGAGAAAAATTTTTTCGAATACGGTAGTATGGTGCACGTAAGAACGTATTTTACCGATATATTATAAATTTCGAGCCAAGAAGCCAGTACTTCGGTATTGCCATAAAAATGCGGATATTGTTTTATTTAAGTACCGAAGTACTGGTTATTTAGCTGGAAATTGATAAAGTAAAGGAAGTTTAATACAGATAAGCTTATTTGAAATGAATATATACTTTTGCTACTGATGTATTTTCTTAATTAAAATTCGATAAAGAAACTTAAGTAGATTTTGATAACCATTCATACTTTTCAAAACTTCTTTAAAAAGTTCCTTCAAGAGAACTAAAAAATCAGTAGGAAAATATAACAAAAGACGATTTGTTTCAACATGGATAACAGTTCAAAACTATTTCTTTGTAGTAAACTGAAACATAAACTAGATTAGAAGATCACCTAAGAATTTTGAAAAACTTTCAAACTCGTTAGTTACTTACAAAGTTCCGTATACGTGATCACAATTTAGAATAAGAATTAGGCAGATATTAAAAAAAAGTCCTAGAGGCCTAAAGAACTTGATGTAAACGGAGAAATCTGACAAAAAAAGTCACTTAATTCCTATTTAAATAAATGATTGAATATTGTTGATATTCGAATATCACATTTCAAAAATAATTTAGAAATAAAAAAAAAAAAGTAAGTAGTACGCCCATTTCTAGGATTAAAAACAAAAGTACTCGCAAAGCGTTTTGTGTTCGTACCGACCGACAAAGCACTCAACAATGTGATGGTGGTATGACGTAAATACTATACGGAAGTCCTTAAGAATGAAATTATACATGCAACTACATTCAAGGCCGTACGCTCCACAGAGAGTCATATAGTAAATAATCATGTCACTACCACATCTCAGCTAAAGGCCTCCTCTGAACATTTGAAGGTCCCCACTATGTATTGGTTACCTAAACTACACCAAAAAAGAACGTAGAATATCGTTTGATCTCGGCCTCTAGTAAGTGTTCTACTACTAATCTTTCAGTGCTTTTAACGAGTTCCTTAACTACTATCAAAGATCTTATCATTAACTTTTGTAATAAAACATTTGAAAATAGTGGAATTAACCATTTTTGGAGTGTAAAAAATTCTTTGGATGTTTTAAATAAATTACGTGCTTTTGATGGTCCTTTTGATTCGGTTGGCAGTTTTGACTTTTCCACTCTTTATACTACACTTCCACACAATCTTATCAAACAAAAGTTCTCCTATCTGGTTGCAAATTTATTTGCTGCAACTCATATAAAGCCTCTTTCTCAAATGAGAAAGGTAAATATGATAGATATACTTACTGGAGGTGTGATGAGATGATTAAAGCCGTATATTTTCTCCTGACAACATTTATGTACGTTTCGGCAATAAAGTTTATCGACAGATTGTAGGTATTCCTATGGGCACCAACTGTGCCCCTTTAATAGCAGACTTGTTCCTATACTGTTATGAATCACAGTTTATGACCAAACTCAGTTAAGACCCGTCTAAATTCCATTTAATTGATAATTTCAACAACACATACCGTTATCTTGATGATATATTTTCGTTAAATAATCAAGAATTCTCTAAATATATTGCCGAAATTTATCCAAAGGAAC